CCATTTAATCACACACATAAAACCCAGGTTTAGTCATTCGACAAACTCCCATTGAGGGCCTACTGCACACAGGTACTGGGGAGAATACTGCCGAGAAGGGTGAAGTCTCTTACTGCTCAACAGGCAGCGGGCAGGGTTTCAGCCTCTGCCAGTGCAGCCCTGGGAGCAAGTGCAGCATGCATGGGACCTCCCCAGAGCCCAGGCCATGGACTGAGGAGCCCAACAAAGCTTCAGAAGCCTACAGAGTTGCCGATCACATTGTAAAGTCCACGAGAGCATGCATTTATTCCATAATAGACTATTTTTTCTTTTTTAGATTTTTTTTTTTAAATCCTCACCCGAGCATATTTTTCCATTGCTTTTCAGAGAGAGCGGAATGGAGAGAGAGGTGAGAAATACACATCTGGTTGCCTCCCACACGTGCCCCCACCAGGGCCAGGGATGGAGCCTGAAACCAAGGAAGATGCCCTTGATTGGAACTGAACCCCAGACCCTTCAGTCTGCAGGCTGGAAGCTCTAACCACTGAGCAAGCCCAGCTAGGACACCATAAAAGACTTTTAATGCAAAAAGGGTTCTTTCTTCCAGTTTTCTCAGAGTGCTGCAATCCCTTCGGAGAGGCAGGAAATGCAATGTCTGAAATCAGGCTCTACAGCCCATCCTGGGGGTGGGGGTGGGGGTGGGGGTAGTGCACAGGATTCCTTGCTCCCAGCTTCTGAAGACAGGAGGCAGGCACTGTGCCCCTCAGGTGAGATGCAGGACTCTGTCAGACTCAGGTGTAGACAAGCACATCAAAACCACTCCGGCCCTATCCATCAACCACTCCTTGTCCCAAGTCTTGCTCTGCCTGGGGGCCGATCCCCTCTCTCCTGTCTATTTGTCCTTGAATCACTGAGTGGAGGGGTCAGCGTGTGACCGCGGCCAGTCCCACCCAGCACACAGTAGACACCGCACAGACCATACTTCAGAAAAAGTGTTTTTTTAACTAATTAGCAGTTTGCTTCTAGAGCTTTCCATTCATGTTACATGTACCCTATGTGTATGATGTAGGGAAATAATTATTTCTGGTAAGAGAACTCTAGCACTTAGCGAGGTCTTTTTCCTTTCTCTTCCCTTTTAAAAACCAGTAGGAATAGAAAAACATTTATGGCTCTGGTTCAAGGTACCACACATTTCTAATTACCTCATTACTCTCCATGGCTGTATTTTTATGGCAATACCGAAAATATTATTTTTCATAATTGTGTTATAACTGATTTTCATGCCATTAAAACATTTGCCAAAAGTAAACCAACAAGTATTTTTAAACTATATATATATATATATATCTTTATTGATTTCAGAAAGAAGAAGGGAGAGGGAGAGAGAGAGAGAAAACATCAGTGATGAGAGAGTCGTCATTGATCGGCTGCCTCCTGCACGCCCTCAGCTGGGGATCGAGCCTGCAACCTGGGCATGTGCCCTGACCAGGAATCAAACCACAATCTCCTGGATCCCAGGTTGATGCTCAACTCCTGAGGCACGCCCAGCTGGGCCCGGCATGTATTTTTATAACCTAAGTGTTACTAGGAGCTCATTCTGCCCCCGCCCTTTGGCTAGCACACCGGTGATCCCGTGAGCAGCTGCTGGTGAGCGCGGGCAGCCTACCTGTCAGGCAGATCCCCTTGGTGCTGTTGCACAGGTCCACCATCACTCGGATCTGCAGGGAGAGAGGCTGTGATTAGCAGCAGCACGGTGGGCGGTGGGCCCTGAACTTGCCCTTTACTCAGGCAAGAAGGAAGCAATTATAAAAATTCACAAAGTGACTTTGGGAGAATATGCAGAAGTCTAAGGAAAAGTTAACCTAAGACAGAAAGGAAACCTTTAAAAGATCTGAAGATATTTGATATCAGAAGCTCATCTATCAACGATGTCAATAAAATCTCCTTGATTTCTATCAAATCGGAGAAGACAAGAGGATGGTGAAGTAATTGCCAAATTCCAGTTTCAATGCTGTACTGAGCCAGCCCCTCAGCGTCTAAAGGTCTCAATCTGTGGGCCGAATAAAGAAGGTCGGCAGGCTTAGTGGTTAGGAGGCAGCACTTACTAGCTGGGTGAGCAGGGGCAAGGTACTCAGCCTCTTGACACTTTGGTTTTCTCTGAAAATGTAAACAATATAAGCACCTGTCTTGAGCTCTGTCCCTGGCCCCAGAGGGCAGTAATTGTCATGCCAGGTGGATGCTGCCTACTTGCCATTGGATGGACACTTGGGGTGGGGGTGGGGGGTGTCACTGCAGTGTGGTATTAGCCTGATAGCTGGGTCCTGGACACCCACTGTGCTCCCAATGAGCTTCACAGAAACCCGATCTGATGGGGACCATCCTGATTCAAACACATCTATGATCTTTGCTGCTCTAAAGATGGAGCAAAATTCCTCCTTCTCTGGACTCACCGCACACTCCCCCCTCCCTTTTTGTCTGTCCTCTAGTTACACTCTGCCTCAGTTGGCTCGTCTGTAAAATGGGGAGAGTAGTAGTGCTCACTTCTTAGGATTGTTGTGAAGAGTAAATAAAATTGTTGTATGTGAAATTCTTAGAACAGTGCCTGGAATGTAGGAAGCACACGCAAAAGTGTTTTCTATTTCACGGAGGCAGCAGAGTATATGGATAGGAGCACACATTCTAAAGTCAAACTGCCTGTGTTCAAATTGTGACTCTGCCATTCCAGCTGTGTGACCTTGGACAAGTTACTTAACCTCTCTGTGGTTCAGTGTCCTTGTCTGTAAATAGAGCTCATAGCACCTACCTTGAACCATGGTTATGTGGATTAAATAAGGAAATACACTTAGAACAGGCCCAGAACATGATAAGCACACTCTATTTATGCTATTGTTTTGATGGTTCCTTGAATATACTAAGAAGAACTTAGTTAATTTATCAATTTACCATCCAAGAGTTTTCAATTTCTAGACAACAACAATTTTTAGACACAAATAATGTGGCATTTCAAAGCTGTGGGGAGAAAATGTATTAGTTAAGAAACAGAGTTGACACAGCTGGATAGACATACCAGGACAAAATAAAAGCTGAATTCCCTACTTCATTCCTTACACTAAATGAGTTAATTAAATGATATTAATAAACAATTTAGCCTGGCCAGGTGCGGCTCAGCGGTTGAGCATCGACCTAGGATCCAGGAGATATGGTTCAATTCCCGGTCAGGGCACATACCTGGTTGCGGGCTCGATCCCCAGTCGGAGGCGTGCAGGAGGCAGCTGATCAATGACTCATCATTGATGTTTCTATCTCTCTCTCCCTCTCCCTTCCTCTCTCTGAAATCAACAAAGATATATTTTTTAAAAAAAGAAAAGAATTTTAAGTAAAAAAGAAACTAGTCAAAAGTACTGGAGGAAAACTTGGGGAAAATATTTATAATGGCATTAGAACAGGAAAGACTTTTCTAAGAAGGAAACAACCCCTATACTATAGATAGAACTGATACATGTGACTAATAATTAAAAATTTCTGCAAGAGGTAAAATACTACATGCAACAAAAAAGGAGAAACACAAGCCTAGAAAAATAATTGCAAAGGACTTGTATATAAAGAGCTGTTATGAAGCAATATATAAAGCAACAAGAAACCAAAAGAAAATGGGCAATAGACCCAAACTGGGAGTTCAGAGAAAGAGAAGAGTGCCTCATCTTCACTTAGAGCTAAAGAAACAAATCCAAGCAATGAAATACTATTTTCACCTCTTAGGTTTGTAAATAAAAAGACTAACAGGGCACATGTCACAGGCATGCCAGGAAAGCAGCGTTCTTGGGTCCTATGGATGGAAGTGTAAAGGGATATGCTGTCTCTTTGGGGGCATTTGGACAATAGCTACTAAAATTTAAATGAATCTACCTTTCCATCCATCCATTACACTCTGGAATTTACAGATGCACTCGTATATGTGTGAGAAGATGTAAACATAAAGATGGTTGTTGCAGAAATGTGGGCAAGAGCAAAACAACCTAAATATTTACCAGTGAGGTCTGGTTAAATAAAGTGTAACATAGCCATACAAGGAGGTACTGTGGAAAAGAAAAGAATTTAAATCCATAAGGCTGATATTGAAAGCTCTCCAAGATAAATGAAAAAATGCAAAACACAGAGTAGCATATATAACATATTTCCATTTACATAGAAAAGCGACGCAGCCCTGGCCGGGTGGCTCAGTTGGTTGGAGCGCTGTCCTGTACACCAAAAGGTCAGGGGTTTGATTCCCAGTCAGAGAACATGACTTGCTTGTTTGATCCCTGATTGGGGTGCCTCTCTCTCCCTCTCTCCCCTGCTTCCTTTTTCTCTAAAAATCAATAAGAACATATCCTTGGGTGAGGATTGGAAAAAGAAAAAGCAACACACACACAAATACTTCAATGTGCCTCTTTCTCTCTTGCCACTTTCAAAATTCTTTCTTTATCTTTGGCTTTCCAGGCATCTCTGGAGAGAAATATAAAAAAAACCTCAAGTGAGGAGGAACAGAGGGCTAGGTGGGAGGGAGCTGTCCTAAGCATGATACCCCCTTTTGTTTTACTCAAAATCTTCACTCTTTCAATTAAACTCTTTTTCAGAAGAACATGTTTTGATTTGACGGGGTAATTGTTTTGTCTTCTGTCTAGGTTTATTGTTTGCCAGGAGGTCCAGAAAAAACCTCTATCTGCATTTACTTTTTGTGGAGTCTGTCAACAGTATTTATTGGCTGCGTTAGAAATCTTCTGTGAAATACATCATATACATCACAAATCTATAGAATGTGCATGAACAATTTAAAGATGAGTAATAAAAACAAACACGTACACACCACCCCCACCTTAAGGACTGGGAACATCCAGGTGCCCCTCCCCAAAATGCACCCTTCCCTCCCCACCCCAACAACTCTGAGCTTTAGTATATTGGGCCTATTCCTTTCCCTTTTACACAGATAAGAGCACGGAGGCTCAGAGAGGTGGCCTCATTTACCCAAGGTCACACGCTCGCTCACAGAAGTGCTGGGCTCAGCTCCAGGTTTCCTGGCTCCAGGTCTCCTACACTTTTTGTTACGGTTCTGATGATTTCTCAACAGAATCAGACAGAAAAAAATTTGATTCATTGTTTTTAGTCATTTTCATAAATGAATGTAATCAGCTGCATGAATGACAAATTTATTGTCTAAAAAGTGTGTAATTGCCCATTGAGAGGACCATTGGAGACTTTACAATGCTTCATTTGTTGCCTGGGGGATCACAGCAGAAGGAGGGTTTCAAACAACAGAAACATCAATAGAGAAAATTAGTCTTTCTCTTTTATATTCTTACTGGTCTGGGGTAGGCCCAAATTCTGTTTAAAATAAAAAGATGAAGATTTCATTTCCTGACCTTTTGGCTTCATTTGTATGCTAAAAGTCAATTTAGATATTTACCAGGAAATTGTGTTACTTTTCACTGGGGACTATCACTTGGGAATATTCTTTTAACAAATGTGGGCTGCATAAGATTGTATCAAGGTAAAACATAGGGTATGAAGAGGTGGCCACATAAAGTAAAAAACATTTGCTTTTTTGATACTAATAATTAAGAATTTGGATGAAAATAAGAAAATCCAAAATTAAAAGTCACAAGATCTAGATTGTCAAATTAAGGAGTCACATTTGGCATAGAGGGCTTCCCAAATCTTGATTTAGGATTGGGGAATGGCGTAGACTGGAAGAGGCCTTAGAGATCCTTGCCCTGGAGGGTGCTGGCATGATCCATTTGTAATGTGGCCCTGCCTGGAGGCCACTCACCATCCCCCCAACCCTAGCCCTGCCCCTCTGCTCCAGCTACATTGGCCATTCCCATGGGAGGGTCTTTGCAGTGCCCACACCCTCACTGAGGCCTCAGCTCAAATAAATGTCAGCTCGACAGGAGGCGTTCCCCGACTCCCCAACAGAAAGGAGCCCGGCAGCTACGCCCCATCACCTCACCTGGCTTTTTGTCTTTGTGACACTTACCATTCATGACCCCACACTGTCTTGCCTATGCTATGCATACATTTATTACCTGCCCCTGCTCTCAAATGAATGGAAGCATTTTGAGAGCAGGAGAACTGGCCCTCTCTTTTGTCTGTATCCCCTGTGCAGAGGACAGTGCCTAATTCCAGGCCCAGAACTTCACGGGGGAGATAGGGTTCAAGTCAGAAAGCACATCAATGGTCTCCCAGGGAAAGCCTGCCTTGAGAGAAGGCGATGGCCAACTGTTAACCTGGGTTTATGAAATGAGAATCCAACAGTGTTGGGAAGGGGGTGGGTGAGGCGCAGGAAAGGTCCGTAGCACTGGTGAGAAGCCCTCCCAACCCAGCTACACCGGCCGGGAGGACACATTCTAGGGGAACAACAGCCGTCATCCTGAGCGCAACATAAAGAACACAGAGAGCTCAGGCTTGGCGCATCCTTGGTCAGCATGGCACGGAGGAGCGGGAATCATCTCCCCGGAGGGAGCACTGAGGGTCATCTCCCCAGTGAAAAGATCAGTGCAGCAGTGGGCAAGGACATATCACATTGCATGGGAACTCGTCATCAGCACTGACAATATAAGCTAGTGATGGGAGAAAAGGCAGCCAAAATGGGTCCTGCCGGGGGCCTCACCGGACCTTCCAGATTCCCCTCTGAACATGGAACCAGTCTCACTGGATTAGCAGAACTCGTGGGATTCA